TGTTTTGTTGTTGAAAGCTTTTCTTTTTGTCTTATTCAGGATTTCATGTTTTTTGAAAAAACTGGAAACGAGGAACAAAGAGCAGGAGTATGGTAGAAGTTTCTTGAGATTCCTCAAGAGATTGAAGGACTACATTCTGATGGATACTGTCTAAGAGGAACACACATGGCTTTTTGTCTTTTCTGAAATAACTGTATCAATTAGCCTATGATGCCTATACCTCCCATTGTACAATTGTGCTCTCAAATTATAATTTATTTTCTATACTTCTGTCATGTATTTGGTTTTATACATTCTTAAAGTGTTCACTGTGAATTGGTAAGAAAATATATGCATTTTTACACATAGAAATGAGCTTGTCAAAGAAAAATGCTTTGGCTCACAATCTTTGATTCATTTTCCATTTTATAAAAATTTAAATGTTATTGTAATTTAATATGAAGTTATATATTAAATATAATTATAACTTACACAAAAGACCTGATGTTCTTTTATAAATACTATCCATTTAAAACCTTTAAAAAAAATGTTCCTGTTTCCTTTACCTTAGGGTTAACTATTATTCAACATAGTCATTAGTAAGGAAACAGTAAGTGTGTTTTCTTTCTCTCTTTAGAAAATCAGTATAGTTATGTAAATCTACTTCTATACTTCTCATACCAATAATACATTTATAACATAATAATGTATTATAATAATACCATGTATATGTATATATACACATATATGTGCTTTTGGGGATGAGGTCTCATGATGTAGCCCTGGCTAGCCTGGAACTTGCTATATAGATCAGGCTCTTTGAACTCACAGAGATTCTCCTGCTTCTGCCTCTTGAGTGTTGGGATTAAAGGCTTGTGCCACCACACCCCACCTGATAAAACTTTTATTGGCAACTTTTAAGTGGCTTCCAGTGAATAAAAGTGATAGGTTTTTTGATTACCCCCCTCCCCCCATAGTAAGTTTCTCCGATGATGCAGTCAGCCAGAGCAAGCCAAATTAAAAAGACCAGGTTTATTGGGCCAAGTGCTCTTGGGTGACTTTCCAGCAGCCCAGAGGTGAGGCTGGTGGGGGGTTGAGGGGGAGAGAAATCACCTGGCAGGTCTAGAGACCTGGGTTTAGACCTGTAGACAGAAGAGTTTCGGGGAGGAGCCTGGACATTTGGGAGTCTTTCTGAGGGGGCAGGGTTTGGAGAGGGAGGAGTGGGGCCGACATGGAGTTTCCAGCCAAACTAAAGGAAGTCACATTTTTTTTTTTTTTTTTTTTTTTTTGCCAAAGGAAGACTCATTTTAAGGACTCAAAAATTTTACAGTGGCACAGTGTTGAAACTATTTTCTCATGAAATGTTTAGCTCCTGTATTCTAATATTTCTAGAATAATTGGTTACTGCTCAGATGTTAAATAAATGGAACATATATAAACCTCAACAATTATTGACTGCAACAACAGTCAAAGACCCCAAATAAAAATTTACAGATCTATTTTTAGCTTGTTTATGTTAGGTCCAAAGTGCCCCCCCCCCCCCAAAAAAAAAAATGGCAGTGCTGTTGGCAATATTCTAAATGACAGTCTGGACTCAGCTAAGGCTGGACTCTGGCCAGGTAAACAGCAGTACTGCTTGCTAGTGGATTCTCAAAAACCTCAAGGCCCATTCCTTAGAAATCTTGTGAAGGGCAAGCATTTTGCTTGACCAGAAAAGTGATTACTTGATTACTTCCCGTATCCACCCCCTCAATTGTCATGTAGTTCCTGATTAACCCAAAGGAGCCTGCAAGTGATCAAAGTCCCCATCTAGTTTCTAGACTGGTAGGATTCCCTTGCCCCTCTGCCCTGCTCTAACTCCCAGGCAGTTCTGTGGCACATCCCACCCCATCCCCCCCCCCCCCCCCCCACACACACACACACATACACTATTTGTGTCCTTAAATTGGCAAGGCTCTTTCTGCCATTTGCTGTTTTAATCACCCTGAGACAGACCCAGCAGTTCGATACTTAAATAAAGCTTCTTTCCCCTACCCACAGAGTTATCTAGTTGCACGGTTTCACTACACCCTAGTTTACAGTTTCTGAGGTGTTGAGGGTGGAACCCAGGGCCTTTTGGAGAGCTAGGTACTCTACCAATTCACTACATCCTTGGCTATGGCTTTCTTTTTTAAATGGAACATAGTCTATCAGTCTAGTTAAGGGCACAACTTACTCTTTAAGGAGTAAAATCTGTCCCATTGCTACAGACCAGTGTTATAGTCTAGAGGTCTTGATGGGGTTCATTTTCTATTCCCGTTGAAGAACAGGCTGGAAAAATCTCAAGCTTGACAGGTAGCCATGGAGAAAGCTCAAACACAGCGGGCAGAATCAGCATGTGAAGAAAGGCTGTTATTGGGAGTGAGGAAAATGTTGTGCCCAGAGTCCCCCAAAGACGATCAAGAGACCAAATCTGATGCAAAAGCAAAGAGACTTTTTACAGTTGTGAGTTAACCTGGGCCTCTCCGTCCCTCTGATGCAGCAGCAGAGCAGGAGAGACTCCAGTAGCAAGGGGCAGGGTTTTTATAGAGTAAAGCAAGGGGTGGTCTTGGGGGGGCTGCAGACTATATAGAAACAGACTCAGGATTGGTTTATGCGAGTGGCAATCAGAATAGTAACTTTTAATTGGCTAGGGTTAGTTGGGTGTTACAATTATCCATTTTGGGGCAGGTGTAGACAAGTCCCAGGCTTTGTTCTTGAGCTGCCATGGAGCCTGGCCGGCCTAGCACATACTGACTCTGGGGGCTGGCTCAGTGGCCCAGGCCTGGTGCGTCCTATCTCCCTGTCCCTGCTGGCAGGGGCATCAGTGATGAATGGATTTTTTTGTTCATGGCCCTCTCAGAAACTGCTTGCTCAGTCTCAGGGAACTGAAATTGAGGCCTGATCGCTGAGGGAAGACTGAGCAGCCTGTTATGGCATCTGCTTGGTCCTTTTGGAAAACACAGGTGGGGGCAGACACAGGGAGGGAAAGACCTGCCAAAATTCGAGTGGGGGTGGGGTGCTCAGGAAGCCAAAAATCCACTCTCTTCTCAAGGGCTGCTTCCTTCCCTAATTCAGGGTTTGTCAGTTTGAAGAAAGACAGGACTGATTGGCCCACGGGGCTGTGTAAACAAATCCTGAAGAACCCTGGAACTTGTTGAGCAAATTCATCAGCAGGGGGCCTAGGGACAGTGTTAATCTCATTGTCCACTACCACAATTTAAAGCCAAATTCGAAGCAAGCTTTAGTTAAATAGTGGCTGGGTAGATGGGCTCTGGCCAGGTCCATCTCTGGTTTTCCAGAAAAATGACCCAAAGTTACGGTTTGCAGCGGCTTCAGTATTTCCCATCAGGTCGAATCAGGGGTAAGCATACATCCTGACGTATTTCCTGCCTGTGAACCTCCTGCCCACATGCAATCAAGCACAGTCAGTACAGATGGGTCAAACAAACTTGTTGAGGGGAGTGGAAATGTGGTTTGTTCTCTCCCATAAACAATCGCCTCCAGCACTTCAGGAACTAGCTGTCCCTGGGCAAGAGGCTTACAGATCAGCGGTATCTTTGTTTCATGGATCTCTAAGGCGCAGTAATTAAAACTTAAAAATGTAACTTTGGCTCTCACAATAAGAGAAAAAGGCCACTAGGCCCCTTTTTTAGGTTGCCGGGTTTTTGCCTCAGGTCAGGAATGTGAGGGAGAAAATAGCCCTTTGGAAGTTTGCCATGTTTATTACGCAGCCAAGGCCTTGTTCCCTCCCTGTCTGCCTATCAGGGAATCTAACTACTAGTCCCTCTCTAGAATTTTTATTTGTTAAGAAACTAAAAGAATTCTGTAGTCATTTTGTGGGGAGGAGTAAAGGGAGATAGGAAAAAACAGCCCTCAATTACTTCGTGTAAAAGAAAAATGGACTTAGGAAATAAGGTCTGTGATGGCTAACTAAGTTTAGACTTACTATGGATGAAAGACCAAAGAAGCAAAAAAAAAAAAAAAAAAAGCCTCAAAGTAAAAAATGCCTCATAATGTAAGTCCCTGGCTTGTACAGGCTGTACCCTAGCAGCCCACTCCCCGACCCCTGGAGATGTTGAAGACTGTTCTTAAATGCACTGATCTTATAAAATTTGCTGTTCTAGCAAGATAGTAAGTCATAGGTAAATAAAAAGAGAAACAAAAAGAAAAAATCATGACTGCTTCTAGGTATGTTGAAGAAGGCTTATTGTAGCTAAGAGGGAGAGCATAAGCCAGAGGCAGAGACATCTGGGAGAGGCCATATCCAACAGGGCTAAAATGAGCTGGGCCATGGGAGGGGGAGGGGGAGGGCAAAGGGGCTGCCCACCAGGAGGGGCAGCCTGGGCTAAGAAACTGGCCGAAAGGGTAAAAGTTGGAAGACCAAAAAAAGGGCCAGCTAACCAAAACGGTTGGATTATATAGGAAAGGGCAGTTGTGGGAAGGGCAGCTGGGCTCCTGGGCTGGAGAAGTTTTAGGGTTGTGGACTGGGTATGCCATCCATACCCTGAGGGCAGAAGAGAGAACCTGGTGGCCACCATCTGCTTTGATATGTTAGTAAACCTTGCTCTTTATCCTGTGTTTGAGACCTAACAATAGCACCATCTGCTATTTTCTGCTCTTGGAATCAGACTTGCCTACTCTGCTCAAAGACTAGACAACTGCAAGACATATATGTTAAAATTAGACCCTGCCTACAAGGAAACAAAATACATTTAATCTTAAAAGCCCTGGGCTGATTATGATTAGAAGCTGCAGTCCTGTTGCCAGGAGTAGCCAGCACCAGTATTTATTTAATAAATCCTCCTCTTATTAAAATTTATTCATGGTCATGGCGAATCTCTGAGCGACTCCAGACCCAGGACAAGTCATGAGGAGACTCTTATCTCAGAGAAACCTATTTATCTGGATGTGAACAACAGCTGTCTCATGATTTTTGACAAAAACATCATAAAGAAAAATAGCCCTGGCTGGTCATGGTGGCACCTACTAGTACTCTGGAGGAGAAGTAGGGGATTTGAGGACCACCGGGATAAATCCTCAGACTCTCCCATCCCCAAACAAACAAACCAAGGAGAGCAAATCTAAACAAAAAAGAAGAAACGAAAGCATTCCTGAGTCCCAGACTCTGAGGAATGCCGTGGAGTCAGAGTTAAGGAAATTCCCATGAGTTCGGAGCTGGGAGGGGGGCGGGCAGTAAGGGCCCGGGAGCTCAGCTCGCGGTTTGGCTGGGCTTCACCTTGGGTGCGGGGGCGTACCCCTCCGGAAAGGATTGAAATCTTTTTATATGCAAAACGCAAAACTCAGGAAACGAAACCTGAGCCACGAGGTCACCTTAAGGTGCTCTTCTCCCTCCCTAACTTTTGTGGCGTGTGGCACCTGTCCTTTTCACAGAGGGGTCTGGAGAGCAGAGCCAGGGCGGGTTCCAGGATTCGCTGCTCAACAACGGTAAGCCAGCTGCCCTGTCTGTCTCAAGAGGATCTGTGGCCCTCGCAGGACACAGAAAACACAGAAGCCCCAGAAAGAGGAATCTGAGGGTGGAGATGTGGCCTGGAAGTTGGGAAAAGTGTCCTAGACGCCTGGAAAATGGAGGTGGGCACAGGGGCAAGAAAGAGACTGGCTGGAGAGGTAAAACGTAGCTCAGTAAGGTTTGCCTGCAGGTGGGTAAGGGTTTCGGGTTATTTTTTCACGCGTCTTTTAACAAGGAGACAGTTCTCCCATTCTCTAGCGTGTCTTTAGAGGGGTCTTTTGTCTTTCCGTTTCAGTCTTTGGGTTGTGAATGAGATTTCATGTTTAATTCGGGGAGGGGGCCCTATCTCAATGGAGGTCATCAGCCTTGTCCTGACATCTACTGTCTACATTTGTAAAAAATGTTAACTGTAGAGACAAAAGGCCAAAATAAAAACGCCCCCCTCAACCCGAATAATTAGTCCTTGACTACTAGTAGCTGGACCTGGTACTTGTGAGAGCACAGACAAACATTAGAGATTAACTTCTAATGGCCCAGACACCTCACCTCCAAGGGCCACCCTCAAGAAGGACAGTTATGTGCTATAAAACATATTACTTAACAAGACGATGGAGTGCACACAGTTGAAATGCACAGAGCGTGCATGTTAACACCAAGTAATTTTTTTTTTTCTCGAGACAGGGTTTCTCTGTGAAACAGTCCTGGCTCTCTTGGAACCCACTCTGTAGACCAGGCTGGCCTTGACCTCACAGAGATCCACCGGCCTCTCTCTGTCTCCTCCTGCGCCGCCACCACCCCGCTAACTGTTCTTATCTGTTTCCGACATCCATTCCCTCTCAGGAGGGTCATTCTCTGTGAGAATCTGCTTGTTTCTGTCTCTCTTGAAGCAGATGTTATTAAACTTTGTAAAAATATCAATTCTGGTCTGGTGACTGCTTCTACCTCCTACTCTGCTTGTCATTAACCTGGCCAGAGTATACGGTTTGTGCAGGGTGTTTTCAGACATTCCCCATGCCATTTGTGACACAGGAGGCCAAGATACAGATGTTCATATGTCATAAATAATGCCTAGGAAGTAGTAGATGGCTCTTTTCTGCTCATTTTTCTCTTCATGCCTAGCATCTGATACCACATCCTGCTTGAAAAGATCCCATCAGGCCCCAGTTCAATTTAGTAATACTGCTTCACAGTTCAGTGGAACTCTGAATCAAGGCCAGCATGGAGGTATGTCAGAGGAACAAGTCACAAATCCCACTAGCTCTTGAACAGTAAATATTAATGGAGCCCACACTGTGGTTCTGGCATTCTAGAATGCCAGATGCACAGGAGAGGCACAGAGGTAGAAAGAAGTGGGTGGATTAGCTCACTAGCTTTCCGCTCAGGCTTTCTGAATGTGACCCTCTCTCTCCACTGCTTCGTATCTCCAGACCCTGAATTTCTTCATATATACCCCCCTCAGCTTGTTGCAGAAATTGTGCAACTAGTACAGACCTAAAGGATTAAATTGATTTTACACCAATTGTTGTGGAATATTATTTTAAGGTGTGTTACTTTTGTTTATGTTGCATTTGTTTAACTCTGTGGAGCTGTGTTACTACTGTGCTTGTCTAAAACACCTGACAGGTCTAATAAAGACCTGAATGGCCATAGCAAGGCAGGAAAAAGGATAGGTGGGGCTGGCAGGCAGAAAGAATTAAGAGAAGGAGAAATCTGGGAGGGGCGTAGAAGGAAGTAGCCAGAGAAGGAGGAGGACCCAGGGGCCAGCCACCCAGCTACACAACCAGCAACAGGGTAAGAAAGAAAAGTATACAAAAATAGAGAAAGGTAAAAGCCCAGAAACAAAAGATGAGCAGGCTAATTTAAAGTTAAGAAAAGCTGGCAAGAAACAAGCTAAGGCCAAGCATTTTTAATTAAGAATAATCCTCCGAGTGAGATGTATTTGGGAACCCAGTGGCAGCTCCACCCCCCCACCCCCCCACCCCCCGAGAAAGCAAAAACAACAACAATGGACTTAAAATATAAGTTGTTAGAATAGATGCTACCACTTCATAAAGGACTGAGTGAGAGCTGGCTTTTATTATGTAAATATTTAAATACTTAAATAGGAAATGTTTGTGTAAGTGCATGTGTGTGCCCATTTGTCCTAGCTGATATATAATCTACATTCAAAGTTTATGAATAAAAGTCTCTAAGATGCTATCTACAGTTGTTCCTACGCATATTTGCTTCATCTTAGAATGTGAAAGTGGATTTTGTTAGAAAGTTTTACTGTTTTAAAGCATACATTTGCATTTAGCCAGATTTCTCCATTAGGGCACTTCTAGCTTATACCGTGTTCCCAAGGCATCTTCTAGCCCAAATTTGTGCAAACACAATTATTCTGGCTCCATAGAACAGTCACCCAAACCACAGTTGAACAGCTCAAGTGCGTGTCTTTTTAGATGTTAACCTTTCAAATGCACAAACCGTATTTACAAACATTGCCAGGAGTGCATGAACATTATTTCGCTTGCAAATTATTTTCATTAATTTTGCCTCAATCTCTGACCTACTGTCTCCTCTTTCCCTCAATATAGTGTCTCATTCTCACTTACCGGTGGGACATTAGAGACTTAGTATTCTGGCGATGGCCTCAGGAACAGAAGAGAGTGTTGGCAAAGTAAGCTGTAATGGGTTACAAACTTTGGGCCCTAATCATGTAAACTGGTTTATCTTGAATCACTTGGGATGGGAAATTTTGTTTTTAGATGCTTAGCTAGTAATTTCTCATTAAGTAGCCGAAACCTACTTTTTACTTATTTGATTGGCATGATAGTTTTATGATATTTCAGAAATACTTTTTGGAAGCTGTAAAAGAATTTCTTGATTTCTGGGGCATGGGTTGAAAAGCTTTACTAAACCATGAATTGTAGAGACAGGTCACAACCCCCACAGCATTCTCCCTCTCCTTGCTGGGAGAGCGTAGAAATTATGCAGTAGCTCAGAACGTGAGTATAGCCTTATGGTTTTTTAACAAAATGATGCCTCAGCTTCCCCTGAACATCTTCCATGGTTCAGAAGATGTGTGTGATCATCACATTGTGCCTAAAATCCTGTTCCGGTGCTATGATGATTCATGTGGCATGGAACATAGGATAATTCTACCCGAAACTTCAGGAATGCATCATGGATATTTCTTCTTTTCCTGAAGTTTTTTGTAATTCTTTTTCTTTCATGGGAGGTATTTTATAACGATGATGTAAATATTAGCCAGTTCATTAAGTCAGATGTATACCTAGCTGTTTTCAAACCCGAGTGACAGGCCTGAGAAAAGGTCCATGAAGATGGAGAAAACTGCCAGGCCATGGTGTCACAGGCCTTTAATCCCAGCGCTTAGGAGACAGAGCACGCGGATCTCTGAGTTTGAGGTCATCCTGGTCTACAGAAGGAGTTCCAGGACAGCCAGGGCTACACAGGAAATCCCTGTCTTGAACCCTGCCCCCCCAAAAAAGATGGAGAAAAATCAAAAGATCATTATAGTAGCACACAAGAGGGAACACAAAGCAAGCCTTGACTGAGTATCTGGCTTTATTCATCCGGCACAGAGTTGCTCATTTTAATTGGCCCATGTGCAGATAACACTTACAAAAGCACCTAGAACTTGGAAGCACAACTCCTGGCGTACCATTTTTAATGCTTGTGATGTTGTGTTACTGCTGCATTTAAAATCTGTAGTACTGTGAAGACATGTATTGCTTCGCTTTCACAATAGGTTCTCTCCCTCAGTAACTTACATGCAAAGATGCATAGGAAGAAGGAAAGAGGAGCATGAACTAATGGACATACTTTAGAGTCTGTTCTGTGCAAAGAGTGAGCAATTCTCACGGCGCGAGAGTAAACACTGCTTATTCTCATTGGTGCACAGAAGGCAGAGACCACCGACTTCTTAAGATCCACCTGACACACAGTTTACAGATTCTCATCCTTCCAGCATGTTCTCAGTTTCTAACTTGGAATAGACTTCTCACCTTAACATAGCTAAACATAAGCTGAGATATTTTTAAACTAGAAAAGAAGTATTTCCACCTCATATATACAGATGTAAAGCCAGATGCTTTTCTGCGTCCCACCTGGTCCCTCCTGGTCCCGCAGCCGCTTATAAATTAATCGTTCAGAGGCTTGATATTAACTACAAACTAGCCTATTGCTCAGGCTTATTACTAACTAGCTCTTACAACTTAAATTAACCCATTTCTGTTAATCTTAAGTGTAGCTAGAGTTTTCCTGCCTGGCCCACAGTCAGGACAAATCTCTCTCACCTGCCAGTCCTATAGCCGCTCAGACCCGACCAAGTAAACACAGAGACTTATATTGGTTACAAACTGTATGGCCATGGCAGGCTTCTTGCTAACTGTTCTTACAGCTTAAATTAATCCATTTCTATAAATCTATACCTTGCCACATGACTCGTGGCTTACCGGCATCTTCACATGCTGTTTGTCATCGTGGCAGCTGGCAGTGTCTCTCTAACTCAGCCTTCCACTTCTCAGCTTTATTCTCCTCCTTGTCCCGCCTATACTTCCTGCCTAGCCACTGGCCAATCAGTGATTTATTTATTGACCAATCAACAACACACTTGACGTACAGACCATCCCACAGCACTTAAGTATTGCCACGTGGCTGTGGCGTTACCGGTCTGCTGGCATGTTGCTCCTTCTGCAGCTGGATGGCATCTGCCAGACTCCGCCCTTCTCCCTGCCTACTTCTATCTTGCCTTGCCATAGGCCAAAGTAGCTGTATTTATTAGCCAGCGGGAACAACATATACTCACAGAGTATAGAAAGACATCTCACATCAATAAAGTCCAAAAATTATAATCCTAATTCAACTGTTAACTGAACTGAAAATAAAAAAATAATTAAAAATTTTTAATATAAAATAAGGAAAACTTGCCTACACCTCTCCTTGTAGAAATCATTTATGATTTACCTTTAGATATACTTTGGTGCTTTTCTGACATGAAGGTAAGGTGAGAATGATGGGCAGTAATCCATAAAATTACTGTTAAAATTTGTTGAAGTTTGCAGAACCTTCATTAGCCAAGCATCAGCAGTAAAGAAAGCTATCTTTAAAAAAGGGGGGGTGGGGGGATAAATTGAAACTTTACAGACAGGTTTAGTATATTCTGTTCATAAGGGACACTACCCATTTCTGCCCCTGGTTCACTGGACTCTCCCCAAAGGCTTTCAGAAAATTGTTAACCATCATGGGCCAGCCACCAATTTCTAGTCTTTCTGAAGAAAACCTAGCATGGGAAGAGGGTCAAACCCAAAGGAGTAACTGGCTAGATGAGGCTATACCAGATAGCTGAAGACTAGTCCATGGATCTGAGTGTGTAGCCCAGGACACCTTGACTGAGCTGAATCTGTCAGCTTGTCTGTTTGTGACATGCTAACAGAAGGTCTTCTATTCTAGGACTGTTTAAATCATGGACAAACACTGTGAATCGTTTCAGTATTCTCCCTATTAAGTTAAATCTACTTGCCTGTTTTCTGCCACAATGTTTTATCCTTTATTCTTTGTTTTGTTTGCTTTTTTTTTATGCTATAGAATCTAATGCCTATTTCAATATTTCAATAACAGAAGATATATTGCAAAAATATTCAATGCCATGAATTTTTTCCTTAAAGCTTTTGGGAAAGCTAAGTATTAGGTGTGTTGGTGAACATATTGTATATGTAGAATGCATTTCAGATGGGATAGTTTTATGCTTCTGTGTACATTTTATGTACACAAGGCTTATTCTAGTCAAACAAATTAAAAAAAATGATTAACTGTAAACAACTAGTCCATTCCAGCAAGTCCTCAGACTCACGCCTTTGTATATTTTCATAGCACTGATTTGAGTGAGCACCAGTCATAATGCTCTGCTTTTTCTCTCAGGAAATTTTTAAATAAAATGTGTGTCTATCAAATGCTAACAAAAGAGTTTTGCCTTATTAGACTTTTAATGTTCTCATCTAAGGAGAACAAAAGGCTTTTCTGAAATGATCTTAATTTTTTTCTTTTGTCTTTGTTGAAATAGCAATAAAATGATGCATCTCAAATCAACCTAGCCTTGATGGCTAGATAGACCATCTCCCTCATATTTGCCCCAAGGAGTTGATCTTCATTAACAACTTCATCATTGACTTCATGTAAAATTCCACAAAAGGCTTTAAAATGTAAACTTACGTTGACCGAAGTTACTTTATATATTAGAAACTTTATGGTAATTCACTTCAATTTAGAAAGATTCATTTGGCTAAGGTCACATTTAATTTTTTTGTTTCCCACACATGCAGTTGTATGTGCATGCATATGTATGTATGTGTGTGTTTATATGCCTAAATAGAAATTCTGCATAAATGAGAATTATGCATATAATGCACAAATAGGAATATATGTATGTAAAAGGAAGGTGATAGCTTCAAGATAAATTGATAATCCTGTTATTTTATGTTAGTGGTACAGAAATTAACCTGTAATTATTATATTTTTGGTATACTTGAACATCTGCCCATTATCTTAGTTTCTCTTTATCAATTCCTCTTGGGATTCCTGAAATTAGAATCCTTTCTTTGCTACCTAAACCCCAGAGACTATGAGTTCCCGACTCACTGAGACCATCTGGTCCTAGTTATATGCGTGCAATTTATATCATTCAGAAGGTGAGGATTGTTACAGGGCACCAAAGTGTGTTATTCCGTTCAGCATAGATACCATCAGAGCTGGAGTGTGTTTTCTTTAGATGTGCTCTGAGACCCAGTGTGAGAGTAGGGGCTACAGGCAGGGCTTTAACAGATTGAAGAACTAAGTAAGCATCGAGGCCACTCATCTACAGCAGAGAAGTAGGTTCTAATGGAATGGCCCATGGTATTTCAGAGATCTGTGACAACTTAGGGTATATTAAAGGAAGTTGGGCAAGGGATTCTTTGTTTCCTGAATTTATGTGGTTGCCATGGACTCTATACTGCTAAAGCTGTTGTGAAACAATTTGATGAGAAGAATGGCTTCAGTCTAGTCTTTCTCATGAACACACATAAATGAATGAGTTGAGTGACATTTAAAAGTCCACAGAAGAGTTACATTCAGAAAATACCAGTTTAAAAGCCAGACTGTTTCCTTCTATGTTAAGGCCATGTTTCTATAACTCAACAATGGAAACATTTGAATTTATGGTCAGTAACCCAACAAGAAGTGGAAGAGAAAATAAAGTAAGTATAATGACTACTAGATCACAATTATTGTAATGACAGAGCCGTCGTCACCCAGAGTATAATCAAAAGTAATACAGAAGACGCTCCTTCGTATTTATTGATACTTGAGATGGGTAAATGACTCACTAGAGAGACATGACTATATCTGCATATAGTAAGCATATAGTGCATATAGTAAGATGATTCAAGCCATAATATATAGAAGATAACATGGTAATATGCTACTTGACGATAACTGAATAGTATAGTTTTCAGAAATCAGTTACCTGTAACTTAGAAACTTTGTACACTTCAGCCCCAACAGTGCAGGTTCAGGGTAAGCATAAAAATGGCAATACAGAAGGGTATGTACTAAAGATTTATTTTGTTTTCTTACCTGTGTGTATGTGTGTGTGACTATATGTGCAGATACCCCCAGAGGCCAAAAGAGTGTTAGATCCACTGGAACTGGAGTCTCAGGCAGTTGTGAACTGCTCAGTGTGAATGCTGGTATCAGAACTGGAGTCCTCTGAACAAGCAGCAAGTGCTTTTAACAGTTGAGACATCAGGACCCTAAAGTTAATTCTCAAGGCAGTGATTACAAGCCACTTAATTCATAGTTTAATAAACGATTGTCTTCAGTTTGTACTCTCCTGGGAGGAGTTAACGGAGGAATTGGAGTGAATATAACAAAACTACATTGTATGAAATTCTCAAAGAATTCATAAAAATAGTTATTAAAAAGCAATTCACACTTCTAGCTGTACCATCACCACATACAGGGAGTTTTATTACTTTCTACACTGTCTATGTACGCATACTTTTAAAATTATCTTGGTTCTGATGTCACATATGAAAAATCCTGGGGATTCAGCCTCAGTCCCAGAACTGCCTCAAGCTACCTAGAAGAGAAGTTGCTGCAAACGGGATTCTGTTACATGCTGGCTCCAGTACAGGCACAACTTGATGTGTTGACTTTACTTTGCACGTTTCAGTTCAGCACCGCACATTATCTTAGCACTGTGCACTCTCTTCCCAACGCACATCTCATTTGAGCTGATAAACATGTACCTCTCTCTGAACTGCAGGCATACAAATGGAGGCTCCTCGCCCAGGAACACATTTGCCAGCTGGGTATGCCCCTCAGTATCCACCAGCAGCATTCCAAGGTAAAATACTCGTTGCAGAAGAAAAAAAAATAGTACTAAGCAATTGATGTTCCCAAGAAAGAAAGAGGTGATGACTACCTACGTCTTTATTTTAGTAATTATTGTTCTTAAAATTGCATTGAAGAAATGTTAGTGACCTAGGTTTTTGTTTTGTTTTAGACTATACATGCTTTTGAAATAATTTTTTTTATTTATAAAGGACAGTAAACATTATGAAGAACTAATGCAATACACATATTTATATTTACTCATGAAATATAATATTGTTAATAAATTAAATATTGATACAGATAGTAAGTAAATGTTTTGTTGGCTGTTCGTCTGTGCTGAAAATTGCTTCATGTGATGATATTTAGGAGGTTTAACTGTGGGTGTCTTTGAACCGTGAAGTATTTAGAATTAATTGTACTCAATGAAAAATAACAGAAACACAAAACTGGAAGCTGCTTACAACAGAAATGTCACCATTTCATAGAACCCTCATTTTCATGTTGTAACGCATACAAAGGCTTTACTCCTTTATACATACTGCCCCATTCTTCAGTCATATATAATACATACCAGATGTTCATTTATCTTTTCAAAAAGTAAACTATTTCAGAGACCTGGGAAACGCAATTGTCAGCATTACTGGACTTTTGTAAATGCCAATGCTGATGGTGTACCCAGCTTTTCCAGTCGCAGGCTATCCAGATCCTCAGTGAGCACACTGGGGATTAATATCAAAGGTGTTCTGGTTGAGCAGAAGGGTACATGCGCTTCGTTTTCTTTTCTGAGTAAACAGATTGACTTGGGAGTTGAATGGCCTGTGTAATTGTCTTAGAAAATTCCCTGTGGGTCGTGGGTCTTATCCAGATGTTTGCAATTAAAGGAATAGGAGCTGGCTAAGCTCCAGAGCTCTAAGGCAGCACTTCACAACCATGGCTGTCATTAATTTTCATTTAAAAATACTAATACAGAGAACATTCACAGGGCAATTAAACCACACCTCTAAACAATGGCTGGTAATTTCCAAAAAGCCAGGTGGTTCTAATGTGAGGAGGCCTGGGTGGAAAACGTCTGTTCTCATAGACACAATACTTGGAGAATTCCTAGATTGTCCATAATTTAACCTAGGCGCCCACAGAACAGTTTAATTAACCTTATATCTAATTGAAATTAGGCATACATGTTAAATTCAGTCAGTATCAGTCATGGAGTATACTAGAAAAGGTAGCTTGGTTTAGGTTTAGAACGAAAAATCTGTTCTTCCACCCAAAAAGCTGAGAACTGGAAATGATTAACTGCCTTGTGATCTCTTGGGCCAGGCCATATTGAGCTCATACAACCAGGACAGGAGGTGACTAATAATCTAAATGACCCTTATAGCCAGAGTCTTCCCCCAAACTCTCGCAATCAGAACCAGAGGTGACTAATAGCCCAGATGACCTCTAAGCTATCTGTTTGACCAAGACTAGGCCAGTCCCTCCATAGGCCCTTAAGCTAGTACATGCAGTATATTTCTAGAACCCATCTTCTTGGAAGAACCACCAACTTCCTGTGTTGAGTTTCAAAGTAATTATGCTTCCTTGTGCATTGGGGGTTGTATTACACCAGGAAATTATTTCCAAATTGTATTGTGTAGATGGATTTTTCTTTGGGCCACCAGCTTACAAATAATGACATGGGGGACTTACTATTAACTATAAAAGCTCTGCCTTAGCTTATGTTTTTTCCTACCTAGTTCTCATACCTTAACCCATATTTTTTAATCTATGTTTCGTCAAGGGGCTTGATACCTCATCTCTGTACTACCCGAAATTCCCGTCTACCTCTCCTGCCTTGCTATCAGCCATTCAGCTGTTTATAACACCAGTCACAGCAATACATCTTCACGCAGTGTACAGATATCTCAAAAACAATACTGGGCTTAAATACATTGAAAATAAACCACCTGTTATTAGACTCCTGGAAGTCTAATGCAGGTTGATGAAGTCAATATGCACCAGGTTACCATTTTTATCTCTTTGGCATGGTTTGTGTCCCTGTGTGACACCTGCAGGGACCCCCTCAGTCCTCCTGAAGCAAACAGCAATAAAAGTCATGAATGGGGGATAGAGATTTATGTACTTCTGGTAAATTAATGCACTCAATAAAAAAAAATAGTTTTAGAGGCCCCTCCAAAAATTAAAATGGAACTATCGCATTCCTTCATAGAGGAATCTGTCAGCATACCACAGGTAAACATTTATGCATTCTTATTATTATACTATTTGTAACAGCCAAAGCATGGTGTCACCCTAAACGCTTATCAACAGATGAATGAAGAACATGCACACACACATACAGGTTTTATTCAGTCTGAAAGAAGAGTGAAATGTCATTTGTAGAAGATGGATGAAACTACACAGCACCGTATTAAGAGGTACAAACCAGGCTGGGTGTGGTGGTGCACACCTGTAATCCCAGCACTTGGGAGGCAGAGACAGATGATGGATCTCTGTGAGTTTGGCCTACATAGCAAGTTAAAGACCTGCCAGCCAGGGCAGTACAGTAAAACCATCTCAAAAAACAAATATGAAAAAATGAAACAAAACAATAACAAACAAACAAACAAAAAACAGAGAGAAGGAGAGAGAGAGAAAGGCCAAATTTCAAAAAACAGATATCCCTATTTTATTATTATTATTTTTGTGTGTGGAATGTAGATTTAAAAACATGTCTATGTAAGATCAAAAGCAGACTCAGCTATTTGGGGCACTACTCAGAACCCAGTGGGAAGATACAGGGCGATACACAAGAGGGTGATGGAAGATGAATTGTGAGCCAAGGAGGTGATATGATATGTTAATGTCCCCATGCAACGTGTTACTTTGTCTGCTAATTTAGTTTTTAAAATGTGATCTGCTAATTTAGTTTTTAAAATTTAATTTAGTTTTAAAATGTAAAAGTTGCTCTAAACTGTGTGTGTGCATGCATGCATATGTGTGCTTGTGCACATGGATGGTGCATAAGTAGGAGCTATAAAGAGAGAGAGCATATTGTAGTTCATTTCAGAGGTCAGATTAAAAAAAAATTGTCTAAAACCCAATAACCAGATAGAAAATCAGTATGATCCAGATTCACTCCGTGGTGACAGAAACACCTGTGCATCTGGCTTGGGTCTCATTATGTGGTGATATCTAGTTTCATACATCTTCCTACACATAATTTCATGCTTCTTTATGACTGAATAAACCATTATTCATAACCATATTTAGATTCATAATATCTGTAGCTATGTCCCTATTTATACCTGTGTGTGTGTGTGTTGAATTTTCTTCATCATCTGTTGGTAGGCAGATTGTACATCTTGGCATATATGAATAGTACAACAATAAACTTAGTTATTTATTCTTCATACCTATAGTTAGAAGAAAGTATAAACCACAAATACTTCATTGAAAAGTCTTCAACATCGTAGACCAGAACTTCTGAGTGGAGAGGTTGCAGGATACTTTTCCATAAACTGATACCTTTTCTCTATGAAGTTGCAAATCACTTTTTTTTTGCTATTATTTCAGGACCTCCAGAACATACCGGACACCCCACACTCCAAACTGACTACCAGAGTCTCCAGTCTGGTTACTCAGGACCTCGGGCTGGCTACACAGTCTTAACAGCTGGCAGTGAAGGTTATAATGCAACCCAGCTTCCTATTCAAAATAACCAGACTATCGTCCTTGTTAATACCCAGTGGATGCCAGCACCACCACCTCTTCATAACTGCCCAGCTGGGCTAGAATACTTAAGTCAGGTAAATCCGGATCCTCAGAACTCACAAAAGACAAAAGTATATTTCTATTTCTAATTGACTTGGACAACAAATGAATAATTCACCCAAGCATGACATTTTCCTCTGTATCTTCCGGTTGCTCATAATTCCCCTAGAGGAAGTTCACTTGCTAAGTGAAATATGAGATAATTGTATTTTCTTTTCCTGCGAGTTCAGCCTGTGATAACAGCCAACAGGAAGTATTTATTGTACAGTATTCTAGTCATTGTCCCAAGTACAATCCTCACAGAAAATATGTGACCTGTGCACAAGATAATTATCACCGTTCTTTGGTAGCGGAAACTAGTATCAGAAGATGTTAACTGCTTTGTTGAGGCTCAAAAACCAAGGAACAGTCATTGTGATTACTTTTTAAATGTGGACTTTGGTAATGAGCACAAAAGCCTTTTACCCCAAGACTGACCTACAGCCTTGGAATTTGAGAAAAGAATATTTAAAAAAAAATTTATTATTATCTTTAGGTGATACCTGAAAAAGAGCAATTTTTAAATTTTTTTCTTTGTTTCTGTTGTTGATGGGTTTTTGTTGTTGTTGTTTGTTTGTTTTTGTTTTTGGTTTTTGAGACAGGGTTTCTCTGTGTAGCCCTGACTGTCCTGGAACTCACTCTGTAGACCAGGTTGGTCTTGAATATGAGATCTGTCCTCCTCTGCCTCCCAAGTGCTAGGTTTAAAGGTGTGCACCACCACTGCCCAGAAAGAGTAATTTTTTCATATATGTAGTTTTATAGACTATAAAGCTGCCTTTATTCTTTAGAAAATTCAATATTGTAAATGTCTCCAGTGAGGGAAGAAAGTCAGGGTTTTGCTGAACTATAGTTCAGTGATGATGAGCTTTAGCAAAAATATGAAGTGTGAAAAGTCAGTGAGGTAAAAGGGCTGTGAAGTTCACCCAGTCTATGAACACATCCAGAGGGCCCTGTCATAGCCAAGCCATCTCCAGTCTGTCTGGCACACATGGTACCAACATGTCCTGTGTGTGTTCAAACATCAGACTTGGAAATGTTCAGTCATTGTGAATGCTCATCCATCAAGGGGACATCATTATCAATTGATACACACACATGGCTAGGGAAATTGCAGAGAAGGAGACAGAGATGATGTAGAAGTAGGAGAATAAGTGCTGTGAAATGCTATCTTTTGGATGTAGTATGAATATTGAACTCATGAACTCACAGCAGCAGTGTTTACCTACAAAGACCTGAACAAGATGAGCCAAGCAGAATTCCTCCACTGAAGCTGGAAGGGATCCTGAGTCCTCATCCCTAACTGAGGAGCTCTGGACACGTGATAGCTGCTGGGGAAGGAAACTCGCTCTTCTTTGGGTGTGATCACTAGTGGACTTCCCATCCTCCAGTGGATGCCTCCACACCTATGTACACATGGGCAGCACTAATTGGACTAAGTGGAGTATTTAAATAGAAGAAAGAAGAGAAATTTTCAGTCCTAATTGTGATCTTTAAAAAAAAAAAGACATTTTTAATCAAGGCAAATAAAATATTGAGGAAAATTATCACTTACAAGTGATAGCTTCCTATAAGAAAATGATTTGAATAGATAAATAAATTCTCAATCTCGTCTTCTGGCAAGAACATTGTTTTGTAATTTATGGGAATTCCGTTATAAATCAGCTTTATTTGACTTACAAATTCTTGCTTTTGAAATGAACAATTTAAACAAACTGGTACGGGTCTGGAGAAATAGCTCAGAAATTAAGAACAGTTCCTAGTCTTGCAGAGGACCCAGGTTTGATTCCCAGCACCCAGGTTTGATTCCCAGCACCTACATGGCCACTTAGAACCATCTTCAGCTCCAGTTCCAGTGAGTCTGTCTCCCACTTCTGGCCTTTGCAAGTACTGCATACAAGGAACACACATACATGTAGGCAAAACATTCATACACATAAAAATAAATATAGCTTTAAATAAATTTGTGTTAAAATATAAAAATTTAATGCTATACCAAATAGAATGCAAAGTGTGAAATGTTGCTCCTCCTGAGAATTGATAGATGACTCCATGCACATTCTCTTTTCCGGAACAGATAGATCAGATTCTGATTCACCAGCAAACGGAACTTCTGGAAGGTGTGTATCCGTTGTATTGATGGTATTTCTACAAACAGGAGCCGTTTATACAGTTATGGGCCTGCCAGTTGCCTCTCCTACAGCACTCTTTTGTGGAAGGTTCAGCTAGGAGGCTACAGACATCTCTCTTCACTGTAAAGAAATTATGAATGTCATCTCCTGTCCACTTCTGAGAAGTAGGAGTCGGGTGATCAAAACGTCCTGTGCTGGACATGTGTTCCCATGAGATCTCACTATTAGAAAGGAAACAATCGATGCTTGTGCTCTTTCTCTGCTTGCACCAGGCTAGCCTCGCCCTTCACCTAACTCCTAGCACTTAGCCCCTCTCTGCCAATGTGTGACCAACTTGAGACTTGAGTGGAACCTCAGGCAATGGTTTGGCTCCCAGAGTGAATGGTCCTTAGGAATTAGGACAGTGATGATCCTTTGTAAAGTCTTTGTTAGTAACCCCAGCTTCTGCTGGAAGTACAGAGGAGGTCTGTAGAATCTGTACATTGTGGGCTGTGGATTCCTAGCTGAGGTGCAACACGTTTGGTGTTGGAGGGACTGAGCACAGCCCCCCAAGGCTGCTCCTCACAGAACGCTTCTGGAGTGCTTCCAGATGCTTCCTTGGGTCCAGTGTCCCCAGATGCAAAAATAACTTAAGACACTGCTAGGTACATCACCACACCTACCAGAAGGCAGCCAGGAAAGATGTATAAATGAGTGTCCCCTTCTAGCTAGTGGGGCATTATGAAAAGTTGGCTGGAATCCAGAAAACACCTGTGCTGGAGGGCCAGCCCCAGCGATTCACAGGTCCCGAGAAGAGGTAAGGTGTCACAAGGAAAGAAGTGAGTCAGGCACGATGATGGGGAGAATATTGCAGACTGACTAGCAATCGGGTTGCTTCTTTATTTATACAGATTCATTAGAAAAAGACAGACTCACGATTTTTCAAAGGATATAGATTACATCATTTTATCTCTGGACATTTGTTTGATTTTCTATAACATGTCCAGGGTCATAGCATCAGTTATAATTAATAAGTACAGATAGAACTGATTTTGCTTTTATCATAGTCCCATAGCCCCATTTCAAAGAACCTATAGACTGTTTTTGGTAGGGCAAGAATACTTAATATATAACAGCCAGTTTCCATGGCCTGATGTCCTGTTCAGATTCACTTCCAGCTTCACTCTCCATTTTCACATCTGTGCTTTTAGAAAAATCCTTCTCAGACTGGAGAGGTGCCTCAGAGGTTAAGAGCACTGTTTGCTCTTCCAAAGGTCCTGAGTTCAATTCCCAGCAACCACATGGTGGCTCACAACCGTCTGTAATGAGATCTGGTGCCCTCTTCTGGCCTGCAGGGATACGTGCAGACAGAACACTATACATAATAAATAAATAAATCTTTAAAAAAAAATCCTTCTCATTGCTTTTGCTCAAATAGAGTGGAAAGGTATATATGTGTACCTTGATCAATAGTTTGAGGTATATGTGTGTATATGTGTACGTATATATATACACACATACATATACAGACTATAAACATAATCACTCTGTAAGCTCCAAAGCAAAACTCTGCCAGATGAGAAGACTGGGCATTTATCCACACACCTAGCCCCTCCTTCTCCCTCATCACTCCACCACCACAGACACTGAAGCCCCCTTATGATAGTCCATGGAGGTGGAGATGGAGCTTGCTCCCTTAGGAAGTCTCAAATACGGGCGACGTCTTTCCTTCTTACCTTCATCTTCTTCTCCTTTCCCACTGCCGTGTCCTGAGTCCAGATCATCTCTGCACTGCTTGTCTCCCATTTCCCACTGTTCCCGGCAGCCTCAGGCACACCTTCCCACTGCTACCTTAGGAGAGAGTCACTGTTCCTAGCAAAGTGGTGAATGTGGTTTCCCCTGTGTGTTTTTAGTCTTAACAGGCTTTGAAACAAATAATAAGTTTGAAATCAAGAACAGCCTTGGGCAGATGGTTTACCTAGCTGTGGAAGATACTGACTGCTGTACTCGAAACTGCTGTGAAGCATCTAGACCTTTCACCTTGAGGATCCTGGATAATCTGGGCCGAGAAGTCATGACTCTGGAGAGACCCCTGAGATGCAGTAGCTGTTGCTTCCCCTGCTGCCTCCAGGAGGTCAGTGTGAAGTTCCCACAGCAGCCAAGAGGGAGTGCAACAGGAGTTTTCAAGAATGCATTAAACCTGACTGTGTGGCTATGGTTACATTCAACATGCACTCTTCCTGCTTTTGTAGATAGAAATCCAAGCTCCTCCTGGTGTGCCAATAGGTTATGTGACTCAGACCTGGCACCCTTGTCTGCCAAAGTTGACTCTTCAAAATGAAAAGAAGCAGGATGTTCTAAAAGTTGTTGGTCCGTGTGTTGCATGTACCTGCTGTACAGACATTGACTTTGAGGTAAGAAGTATCATAATGTTCATAGGATGTGCTTTCCTAACATGAAAAGAATATATTCCTATAGGATGTTCCCAATGCTTTACTTAAATAGTGTGAGTTGATGTGTGCCTATCCAATTAATGGTCATTTAATTTTTCATAGCAAAGGTCATTACTCTGATTAAAGGTTAATGTGGAGTATCCTCAGTGTCATGCAAACACAGGCCAATTCAGATAAATAAGAAGGAAAAGAAAACCTTCCAGCATTTAAAAATTCTATAGCTTTTGCTAGTGATTTACTGAATGGCTAGACTGTTACTGTGCAAATATGAGGCCCTGGACCTGGATCCCAGCACCCACAGGGAAACCTTAGTGTGCAAGTATCCACCTCTACTCCCAATTCAGGTGTGTGTGAGGGGGAGGTTTCCTAAGGCTTGCTGGCCAGCTAGTCCAGCTCAATAGGAAAAAGTCTGTTTCAGCACGAGAGACCTGGTCTCAGTAAGGTGGGCTGTGATAAAAGACACCTAACTTTGACCTCTGACCTCTGTACTCACCTTGTCATACATACCATGCCCACCATGCACAAACATGAATACATTAATACACACACACACACACACACACACACATACACACACACAGACAGACACAGACAGAGAGAGACTCTTCTTCTGTTAAAACAGTATTACTCATTTTAAATCTAAGAGTAACCAAGACACTTAAAGCATTTCCAGGGCCCTTCTTTTTCCCTCAGTCTGCATTATAAACCTCACCAGCTCTTGGGAAGGGACACAAATTTTGTCACTTGGAATTCTTGTCAAAACCCCACTGATGTAATGAAGCTTCAGTGTGGTGAGTAGAAGCCATGTCTTTTCTCTGGTGTTTCATTTTCCAAATTTTCCATGACCCGGAGTGAACTTCGGCTTGAAAAATCTGGAATAGAAAATTCCTGAAACAGGACTTAAGCTGTAAATTACACACCCTCTTCCCAGTAATGTGAACTAACCTCAGGCTGTCCTGTTCCATCCTGCCTGGATGTGAGTCATCTTCCTGCACACCCTCCCAAAGGTCCTTCCTGGTAGCCTCGGAGGGGCCAGTCACGAAGCCCGCTCCTGTGCTTTCTCAGTGCAGAGGTCCAGCACTCTTCAGTCAGTCGCCTAAGCAGCCACGTGACCTCTGCAGCCACATGACCTCTGCAGATGTCATCTCACTACCTGGCACTGTTCAACTCCCTTCCTCAAGAAATAATAGAAAATAAGACCTTTTTAGGAACATACTCATTCCCATAATGTTTTTCATAGATTATTATCTTTTTTAATGTTTCACTAATAGGTTATTTTTTTTAACAGTTCAGTTCTCCCAATTCATGAAATGAACTCTATAACAGAAATATAATAATAGGAAACAGTTTCACATACATAGAGCTCAGCAGCATCTATAGGCTTCCAGCAGGATCTTGGCCCATGCAGCTCTTGCATAAGGCACATTTCTCTCTTTATATACATGACATAGTTCTTCTCTGGACTCTGATAAACCCTTGCAGGATATTAGGCCATTGGAATTTGAATATGTTTGACGTTATAAGATTTCTACAACAAATGTTCTAGCCAGGCTCATTGCTCTATTTTTATTGGCAAGCATTTAAAGATGGGGAATTTGTTAAATTTAAAATCCATGTATTTTTCTTGGAAAATCAAAATGAGGAGAAATTGGACTCAATTTCCACACAGAGGAAAGAATCTTCGAAGCTGTGTAGAGCTGTCACTTTGTGGAAACTCCTCTGGTACTCCAACCCCAGATCTCTCAAAGGTTTCTGCTTTCCAGGGTCATTCAGTTTTTATAGCGCTTCCTGTATTCATATGGACACAATTTCTCTGAGAATCTGGGTGTGTTAAGGTGGCTTTCTCCTCTTACAGGATTCATGTCTAAGGACAGAGCTGAGAGTTTTAAGAAAATACCCATAACAGAAAAATGTGTCTGTGATATGTGTATATAAAAACACTTACGAACATTTGTAATGATAATTATTCATATAGAACATTATGCCTGTGTGAGGGTCAGAGAAGGTAGTAAGTATTTAGTTACAACATATAATAGATTTCTTTTTTTAATCAAGTAATGCTATTAAGGGAAATTTTGCTTCCATGCTTAATTTAAAAAAACAAAACAAAACTGGATTTTATGATATTCTTAATGATCATGGATACCTTCAAATACCCGTTGCCTTAAATGAGTTACTTTCTTTATGACAGATTTAGAATGATGATATCTATGTCCTGTCTTTGACAGAACTTAGAAAGGCCCATTTGTTCCATTTCCTGTAGAGTTAGTGATGGCAGTGTTCATGTCTTAAAAATGGGAAATGTTCCTATGAGCCACTAACAATGACTTTAGAACTGTGAGTAGAGCAATAACAGTTATTGTTATGCCAGTTCATTAATTCAGAGATGGAAGTGTCTTGTTCAGGTGTCTTGTTTAAAATGCTACCTGGGCTCTGATGATCTGATTTCTACCCACAGGGCTAGTGGTGGAAGGAGAAAAATGACTTCCCCAAGTTGGTCTCAGACTCCCACACCTACGCTAGGTGTTCAGGTACACACACACACACACACACACACACACACACACACACACACACTATAAAAAAATTCTTAAATTTAGCTAAAATTCCTTTTGTTCTGGTTACTTTTGACTGTAATTTACAATTCACGTTTCTGATCATCCCTCCAGCAAAACTGCATATACATCTGAAAATAAATTCAGTTAATTTTAAGGTACTGCTTTGTAAAAACCTGGTAAATAGTTATATGTTGATCTTTAGTTTTGGGTTTATGATGCTGACAAATTGCCACTTATCTTCCATAATATAATTCACACTTCAAACATGTATATGAGATGTTATGACTGAATATAAATGCTTAAATGACAGCTATTGCACATAAAATACTAAAATATTACAAAAGAGGATTTGTTTTAAGCCAGCTCATCATAATGTCATATCTGATGCAACTATAATGGTTCATGACTTTAAATCAAAATCACTGTGTTCTCATCATGGCCTTTTAGGTCAGCTGAGTTTCTGTGCATTGTTGCAAGCTCATGTAGATGGTGCTAACTTGGTCCAGGAGGTAACCTCCCATCTGCTCAAGGAAAGTGTGTCCTAGGACTGTACCCACAGCAGCTCAGTGAGGGATACTGCTCATTGGATGCACATGAGAGCAAGCCAGTTAGCCATGGTGAACACTCAAGTCATCTGCCATACCCTGTCATCAAATTAGATATATATGAAAACCTAATTTTCATGGACCACAAAGTGTGGATGTGGAGTAAAGGTACTATTCTACAAGCAATAATTTGTGTCTTCATTCATATTAGAAGTAAATCACATTTAAGGTACCATCCTCCTCCAGCCACACCAAGATGTTGACTACCTCTGAATGTCCCCATGTGTACTTGGTGGATCCTGTCTGAGGCCTGGGCTTTAAAGGAGTCTGTTCCCTCCTCTGATGCCTTTTGCAAGTTTAGAAAGGACATACCTCCTCCTCATTTGATTCATGCCTATGTATACATACTTTGGTGAGCATACATGCCCTCTATGGAGTGGCTTAGTTAGTGCCCTATCTGTTCTACTGTAAAATGGGGCCTTAGACTTTCCACCCACAGAGCCCCAAATCGGAACCTTTTCCACATTGGAAATCTGATTTCACATGCTTCTCTTCTTATATTTTTTACTCTGCACTTGTTATTAAGTCCTACCCCATCCCTGCCCTGGGAGCCTTCCATGGAGCTTCTTGTTGGTCCCTTCCACTCACCAGCTGGTCTTTAAGTATTTCTTGGCTTTTTGCATTTCATGCCCCACACTGCCCATTGCCCCATAGGTAGCAATGTGCCTCTGCCATATTTACACATGTGTGAAAGCTATGCTTCTCAAAGCAGATAATCTAACAAGAGTTTCATCTTTTGTCTTTTCAGTAGTCTCTAGAAATTTAAGAAGAGAAACATTTTTGAAGATAATTTAAATAAAGCATTTGCCCGGCTTTACTCCAGTTTTGAAAGTAGACTTGCCATACACATCCTACAAATCCTTACGCTTTTCTTTTCATATGTAGATCAAGTCTCTTGATGAGCAATCTAAAATTGGCAAGATCTCCAAGCAATGGTCTGGTTGTGTGAGAGAGACCTTCACAGATTCAGATAACTTTGGGATCCAGTTCCCCCTAGACCTTGACGTGAAGATGAAGGCTGTGACACTTGGGGCGTGTTTCCTCTTAGTAAGTCTATTCTTGCTAATCCTTGGTAGAAATTGTTCCATAGTGATTGGGCAGATTGTGTGTCCCAAAGTGACATTATTATACTAATGGGTTTTACATAAGGTTCTGCTTTATTATAGCTCTTTAACTGCATGTAATCCTGAAATTTGGATATGGATGACTATTTTCTCTCTGAGGAGTCTATACATTGTCACAAGGCAAGACACAAATTTTATTATTCAGAGTTTCTTGTCTTTCAGATTTTATTTTAATAAAACATAAACTTAGAGATTTGTGGAAGTGTTGAATATGTACTTAATTAGAAAAAGTCTGATTGAAATGTACATGTTCAATCATTAAATTATCATCTAATATATAACTATAAATTACAATAAAGTTTTATATGCAGTCATGCCTCTAACTTTCAATTTCTAGAATATTCATGGATTGAAGAGAGAAATTAATTTATACATTTATATACCCAGGTATCCGGGCAGTTCAAATAAATCAGACATTCATGATCAGTATTTGCATAGTACCCTAGGGGATTCCAATATGCAGCCAATATTGATCATTACTGGAAGAAAGCAATAGTCCTCAGCCTTAACTACACAGTAGAAATACCTAAGAGACTTCAAACTCTCCCTGCCTAGATTACAACTCTACTAAATTCAACTCTTCAGTTTTATCCAAGCTTTTAGTCTAGATAGAGTTCTAGCTGGTTCCATTATGTAGCAAGGTTTGAAACATGAGATATCTTAAATACTGATGTGGAGATGCAATCAAAAGAAAAACAAGACTTGTGCAGCCCTGCAGTCTGTGTTCTTCCACCAAACAGATACAAAGTAAAATAAAACAGGATGTCACCATAATACCTATTGTGAGTTGTGTTTGGGCATCAATTCAAGAAAAACTATATTAAAAAGACATAAGAATTCAAGTAAATATAAACAGTGACTGGCTATTTGATAGTATGGAGGATTTATTCTGGTATTTTAATAAAAACAGTTGTCCCCATCTGCATCCCTTCAATATGAACTGGTTTGATAAAAGATTTTTGCTTTTAAATAATGTGGATAGGAGAATGGGGTTGTATGATGAAGTAGCTGGTAGACATAGCTTACTCATATTAACCATTATTGAAGCCAAATGAGCAGGTGCTGAGGGTTTTTGCACTAATGTTCTTTATTTGAGTTATGTTTGGTTTGTTTGTTGCAAAAAGGTTAAATAAAACCAACATTTTATGTAAACAAAGAGAATGTGTGAAAGCAAATTTGGCCTTAATTTGGGGAAAATATTTTAAATCAGGGTCTGGGCATGTGAAAGACCCTGCATTTAGGGGAAGCACATAATCTTCAGTTTTTATGGTGACATGAAACAGGGTTGGAAGGGGAATGGCAATTGTTTTCTCTGGAAGAGACTTTATAAATAGGAAAAAAGAAAGTTCTGAATGTTATGGCAAAGAAAACACTGTATGTTCAGGTGTCCCCACAATAGATAATAAATGAGATGATAAATATGTGTATTGAACTTTCTACAATATGAGCACATATTGAAACACCACCCCATGTTCTGTAAATGCAAGCACATTTTGTATCAATGAAAATGTGTTATTGCTGCTGAGTTGCTACTGTTGGTGGAATAAAAGAACAGAAAAAGTGGGAAAGAAATAAATTCCATAAGATTTGATAGTTATAGAAAGGAAACAATAGGTAGGTTTAGAGGAGAATTGCTGCCCCTGAGCCAGACAGAAAGCTTGATCTTTATTTCATTCTGCATGAAAAGGCTACATCAATAGAAAGTCTAAAGCTGACCATGGATCTCATGTTAATTAAGCCATTGCATTGTTAGAGAGAAACTAGAAGTTAGGGAATGGACAGGAGGTGATGAGCACTGGTGGCTCTTCCAGAGGACCTGAGTGTGAATTCCTGCACCCCATGACAACTAAGGACCACCTATTAGTCCAGTTCCAGGGGATCTGACGCCCTCTTCAGGCCTCCATGGGCACTGCTTGCACAGACATGTGTGGAGACGCAACACTGATAAATGTAAACTTAAATCATTAACAAAAAAAAAAGTTTCAACTTAGGAAGAAAGATGGAAAGATTTCAAAGGAAATATGAAAAATATTTAGAGAAAGTATGAGGGAGTTAATTAAATTGATACAGACATGGAGAAATAAATACAATTACAAAGTTTAATTGCTATTGTAATCAGAAGGGAAAGGTCATGCTTCTTTATAGACTTTCCAACATTTACCCACATTACATTCAGTTTATCTTGGATGACATTAAGTCATTGGGCATTAAGTGCTCTTAGCTTTCTGTGTCTGAGAACAGGCCATGCTTTGTTTCTGAAAAACTATTTCTATGTTTTGTTTCTGTCTAGGATTACATGTTTTTTGAAGGCTGTGAGTAGGAACGAAGTCACCCGTGTGGTGGGGATTAACGAAGATGACAGAGAAGCGTTGACGTCTCCACAGTGAGACCATGTATATGGGAAACCGGTGGCTGTATTTTTCTATATTGAAATTTCTCAGAATTAAGCTATAATACATGAGGCACAATGGATACAGTTTTGCTTTCTAAATGACAGTTTATCCTCTACATAATTGGAATAGCCATAGGCTTACTTCCTTATACACATCTAAATTATTCACTGAATTAAAGATAAAAATGAAAATGTATATTTAGAAATAAAACATTTTATGGAAAAGTAAGTTAAATCATAATCTGATTTATTTCTCATTTTCTATTCCATTTAAACCTTGCTAGTGTAGTTATAAAATTATACTTGATTTTATCAAATCTAGTTTATTTCTTACAAAAAATATGATGTTATTTTGAAAATATATATTTTGAAAGCTTTTCTAAATGTTACTATTTTGTTGCCTGGGAAATACTACTCAATAAAGTGCAAATAAGAAAAAGTAAGGTGTATTTTCTTCTGTCTTTAGGAAATAGCACTAAATGCCCTTTTAAAATTTCTACTATTATAAATTTTAATACTGTAAAGTCCTTAACTTACCAATTTTAAATGCTTTTCAGTGACATGTTTTTCTGCCAAGAAACCCTAACTTTTAGGACTCACTCTTTTTATAACTTTACTATTGGTACACTGTTTGACATTACCGTTTATATTCAATTATTAATTGGGAACCTACCATGGATATGGCCAGGGGACAATTTGATCTTGGCTGTCCCTCAACTAAGAATCAGTCTCCCAGGTCACTCTAGTTTATGTCACGTTGACAATGAAAACTAACCATGACATCAGGGTGTTTGTTTTACCAAGATTTGGGGCTATGGCTATGATAAAACTTAATCATGTACTCTTAGGTCTTTGGGACTGGATTGTGGGAAGAATGTGGAAAAGTTTGAAATTTAGGGCTACAAAAATTAAAAATGCTGTTAGCAAAGCTGAAGTGGCCATTCTGGTGGGTGTTTCAATGACCAAAAGGCAGTGAAAAATTTGGACTGTTAAGGCCTAGTTTCATAGGGCAACATGAACACTTAAGAACAGGGCTAAGACCATTCATGTTCTATTCTGACAAAGAGTCTGGTTTTACTTTGACCATATTCAGAGAATTTGAATTAACCTGAATTCAAAAGTTATGGCCTGATTTGTATGGAAGAGGACATTCTAAGGCAGGATGTTATTGAAACTGTTTCTATTGTAATTTCTCACCACAAACATTCAGATTGTCTGTGAGAGAAAGCACTAAGTTCAGTACAAAGAAATAAAAAATATGAAGCTCCACGAGGAAAAAGCATATAACCAGGCTTAAAGCTGTGAACAACAGAGAACTATTGGCTCCTGGAATCTCACCATTAACGGAGCAGAACACCAAAGTCTGAAAACCAGAAGCAACATTTATTCAATAACACGGCGGGGGAAAATTCTAGCTTTTCAAGTTTATAGAGAATAATTTGATTCTGTAGCCCTGAGGAAGGGCTACAAGCTCCTTTTTAGAGCACACAGGGCAGAGAGTACATTTTGAGATTTATGGCATTTTGAGAGTCTCAGTGTCTTGACTTGAGCTAGCACTCTCAGGGTACCTCTGAGATGGAGGGGGACCCAGGATTTACTACTTCTGATTATAGCGTTTTAATTTAAAATGTCATGGGTTCATTTAAATTGCCTTTCCCCTGCCTGGGAGAATGTAAGGTGAAGGGTCAAAGTGGCTATCTGCCCTAACACATTCAAAAATATGCATATAGGCTACAAGTGTACAATTGTTTTTACATATTCCTGGGCTCTTCAAGAACAAATAACAAAGCATCTACAATTGCTGAAGACATTAGCATCATTAACAATAAACCCCCTTTCTCTGCACTGGGACAGTAATAAAGGTGACCCAAGAGCAAGATCCCCCCCATCAAAGGCTCCAGCTTGTGGAAAATGAAAACTTCAGAAAAGGAGAGCGCCTGAATTGACAATGTAGCTTGGGGGACGGGCGTCTTGTCTTCTCCGAAGCCACTGCCTAAGAAACAATTTCCAGTGCCAACACACAGAAGCGGATAGAGTTGTGGACTTTGAGGAAGGGAAGGGCAGGCTCCAACTTGGAGCCGGACTTGGCAGTGTCGTCCGTGTGCTAATAGTTTTGAAGGCATGGAAGATAGAAGATTGGACTGTAATGGAAAACAGCTCAGGCTGACCAATGTGGAATGACGATGGAATATCTGGAAGGAGGGCTCGATAGTCTATGTCATGAAGCTGAACATGTTAAGCTAAAGTTACCAGTGGAAAACCCAGAATATCGAAAGTGTCAGGAAAATGGTATGTGTATGGAGAGCTACAGGCCTAGAATGAAGCCAGTCCAGGCTAGATGTGTGGAAGGCAACAGAGGCAGACAAGCAGACTACCCAAGCGCTTTGGAGTCCAGTTTATTGTACCTTAAGCCCCAGGTGCCAGACATGAAAATTTTAGAATAGATAATTTATTCTGCTGGATTTTGTTTTGTTTGGTATGACTGTTCCTACTGTAACTGTTCCTTGGTTCTTTCACTTTAAGAACAGAAAAGTTTATTCTGCCATTGTATGTTGAAAATAATACAACTTACTTTTGGTTTTATGGGAGCTGAAAGTGAAGAGATTTTAGACTTTCAAAGTATTGAAACTATTAATGACTGGGATTTTCAGTGTAATAATGTATTAGGTATTATAAGATGGTTATGAATTTATGGAGATAGGTTGTAGGTTAAGGATTAAATGTCATTTGTTTGAATGTCAAGTTGACAAGGGGTACATTTGTGATGGTTTAATGTTAATTGTCAGTGTCACAGAGTTTCGAATCACTTGGGAGATGGGCCTTTAAGCATGCCTACATGGGATTCTCTTGACTATGCTAGTAGATGTCAAAAGACTCATCTTGACCAAGGCAGGGCTGTGACCTGGACTATGTAAAATAGAGAAAGTGAGCTGAGCACTAGGAAACATTCATTGCTCTGTTTCTTGTTACATATTCAAGTTAATCTTCAACCTATTTTCCGTGTTTGTGTGATTTTAAATGCCCCTATTTGTGCCAAAAAGTAGTTTAAAAATTTACCTAAGCCAACTAGATCTGGAACACTAATGCTTAATTCTGTTTCTCTACTAAAGAAAATGTGGTTTTAACTGTGGATTATGAGTTTGTATCATTAACATATTGATTTTTTTCTGTCTGGCAGGGCTAGAGAACAAACAGTGGCATATTTGTGAGATAAAATTGTGTTTTGTTATGGTGTGTGTGTGTACATACTTAGAATTAGTTGCTTGGAAACATTTCAACTTTAATTACACATTACCAGCAAAAGGAGTCATTGGAGGAATAATGCAGAGAAATTTCTTCTTACCTGAACTTTACAGAGTAAGTTGGATCCCAATTGATTTCTTATCCTTTCTAGTTCCTACTCTGAGAACAGAATGTATTAGACTATGTGATTTATAAAGACTAGGTACCAATTCTATAGCCCCAAGAAACAATATCCCAGTGACAGCACTCTACAAGGACCTCTGCTTCATGGCATTGCCCTAGTCTGCCCATGTTTCATTTGGAGTCTAAGTGAAGGTAGCCATAACCCCATAGTTGTGCAATAGGTACACCAGCAGATTCAGCACCACGTGAGCATTGTTCGTAACTATATCTATGCCATGTGGAGTGGCATCCCAGGACACCCAGCCCCACTTGAGCCACGTGCGGAGCATTCAAAGAGCAGTGCGTCCGAATGTAGGAGCTGAGACCAGCAGCAACAGTGGACAAGTAGCCCCAAGTTTCCAAACGCACCTCAGGCCCCTCTCTTGGCAATGTTCTGCTCTCATAGGCTTGGTACATTGCATCTTTAACAGAAGTGGCAGCGTTGGCAGTCTCTGAAGTGAGACTTTCTCCTGCTGTCTTGATGAATCATAGCATGTGACTTTATCAGAGCTTATCAATCTCTGTGCCACACTTTTTTTTTACAGGGTGAATAAATTTCCACCCCTTTATGTTATGCCTATCTTTTGATTATACCATCTATCTTTAATACATTTTTCATTTACATACTTTTTTTTTTTTTTTTTTGGTTTTTCAAGACAGGGTTTCTCTGTGTAGCTTTGCGCCTTTCCTGGAACTCACTTGGTAGTCCAGGCTGGCCTCGAACTCACAGAGATCCACCTGGCTCTGCCTCCCGAGTGCTGGGATTAAAGGCGTGTGCCACCACCGCCCGGCCATTTACATACTTTTGCAACAATCCATCCAAGAGAGCCATGCTACACCCTCAATACTTTGTTGAGATTTTTTTTCCTCTGTTAAATATTTTAGTGTTTACGGTAAAGGTCTGCCTTTTATGAAGTCATCATACATGCACACACACTAGTTAGTCCATTTCTTTGTTACTTCGTTAGAAGTTGAACTTTTCTCTCGGTTCCAATACCTAGTTCCTCAGTTTTGTTTAAGACAGTTTGTCTTTCATTAGAATGTTCCTTCACTGTTCAATTTTCTCCCAACACAGTGATTATCACCACGAAGAAAATTTTGCAGGGCGGTGGTGGCACACGCCTTTAATCCCAGCACTTGGGAGGCAGAGGCAGGTGGATCTCTGTGAGTTCAAGGCCAGCCTGGGCTACAGAGTGAGTTCCAGGAAAGGCGCAAAGATACACAGAGAAACCGTCTCGAAAAACCAAAATAAAATAAAATAAAATAAAACAAAATTTCACCCCAGCTCCCCGCTTCTCTCCATCCTTACCACATCACTGTGCAAACTTACCTACCAGGCAGCTGCAAAACGATCCTGCAGCAGCACCGACTTCCCAGAACAACTGGGAAGGCTGACTTGAATTGGCCCCTTGATAGAACCTAGAATCACTTGATAAGAAGTCTCCAATGAGGAACCGTCTACATTTGGTTATTCTGTGAAGGGGATTGCCTTTTATTGTTATTACTGTTACAATTTTTTTTTATTTTTAAAGTTTTCTATACAATGTATTTTGGTCATATTCTTTCCCCTTCCCTAACCCCTCCCAGATCCTCCTCACCACCCCACCTACCCAACTTTTTGTTCTTTCTTTCAAAGAAACGCACAAAGGGCACAGGGTGGGTTTTTTTTTTTAAATTTTATTTGTTTGTTTTTTTAAAGAAGGATTGTCTTAATTAGATTAGTTGTTGTGGGAAGACCCAGTCCAATGTGGGTGGCACCATTCCCTTGGCAGAGGATTAGAAAATTTGAGCTGAGCACAGCCAGCAACCAGGTGAGCGTGCATGCATTTACTTCTTCCTGCTTTTGACTGTGGATGTGGCCGGCTGCTTCAAACTCCTGCCGCTGTAACTCCCCAGTAAGGATGGGCTGTCTTTGGAACTGCGAGCTGTCAGGGCGTTTTTATCATGGCAACAGAAACAAAAGTAGGACACCAACATCTGGTTCAGTTGTACCAGTGAAGTTGCAGCCACAGGACGACAGCTGACTCATTCATAAATGGAAACACAAAATCTGCTCCCATGGCTGGGGGCTGGGAAAGGGGAGCTCTTTTCTGTGAGAGCCCTGTTTTGGATTCCTAGAGGGTCTATGTGCTATATTTTCACATGGCAGAAAGACCAGTAACAGGACAAATACTGCATATCCCATGGCAGAATGGGGCCTCGTTGGTTTCCATTCTTAAAGGCAGACTTCATCACTTCCTAAATGTGTTCACTCTTTCTGTCTCTATCCTTTCTTTTCTTTATTTTTGAAATCATAATTGCATAATTTCCCTTCTTTCCTCCCTCCCAAACCTTTCCATAGACCCTTCTCTGCTCTCCTTCAAATTTATGGCCTTAATTATTATTGCATGCATATGTTTATCTGTATATACATTAGTTATTGCATGTATACATTTATCTGTATATACATATATATTCCTAAATGTAACCTTAGTATATATAATGTCACTTCTATGTATGTGCCCTTCCCTGGAAAAGATCACCTCTTGCTTTCCTCAGTTGCCTCTCTTTCTTTATGCAGGGTTGAGGCCTCCGTGGACATTTCCTCGCCCACTTTGGCCTGACCATTGTTGTCATCCTCGTTCAACTCCCATTTGAGCAGTCGTACTGGTGAGACTCATGGGTGCAGTATCTGGCATTACAAGAAGACACAGGATCTCTGATCGTCTGGCTCTTGCAATCTT